CAAATCAGTGATTCGATTCTGCATTTCCGGGAGGTGCTTCAGCTCCTCAGGCTCCTGCGGCAGCCTCCTGAGCGCCCCTGGTGCCCCCCCGGTACCCACCTGTCCCGGCTGCGCGCAGGCCGTCTGCAGCTCTGCCTGCTGGCACACCTCCTTCACCTTGCGGTACTTGGGCAGGCTGTTGCTCTGCGGCGTGTTCAAGCCGCCAGCCCCCTGCTCCTTCTTGCGGAGTATCTTCCTGCAAAATGAGACGGGCGAGTGAGCGACCGGGGGGGCGGGGTTACAATGAAGATGGAGGTGGCCTGGGTGCCAGAGGACCACGGCCGTGAGATCGGCCGGCCCTCGCTGCCAAACCGCTTGTCCCCTTGCTGGTGCCCCCCGCTTCCTGAGTCCTGCCAGCGCACACCACATTCTCATGAGAACCCAGACAAATAAATAAGGCAGGGGGGCCCTCTGTGGTGTACACCCCCCTGCTGTCCGCAGCCTGAAGCCACAGCTGGCGCTCGGTCCGGGGACTGGGCCGAGGAGCCGAAGGGCGTCCCGCGGGCATGGGGTCTGAGGGTATGCAAGACCAGCGACAGTGATCTCCCCCCCCCCCTCCGAACACAGCGGACCGTTGTCCGGGTTAACAGCGGCTGGGCTCAGAACGTCGAGGTCCGGATCACGCTGCTTCATTTTCCGCACCGCGACGATCCAGCAAGCAGGCTGCAGCTTTTCAGTGCTGTGTGCCCCCCCCCCGACCCCCCGGCTGGGTGGGAGCTGACAGCGCCGGTGACAGCAGGAATGTTGGCTCCGAGGCCGTGGGCTCGGTCCCAGGCATCCCGGCCACGCAGGGAGACTGATGGGATTACGAGGGTCCGGGCAGCGCACTCGCAACAAAGAGCCTGGGGCATTAGCACAGCTTAGCGTGTTAAGTGATACAAAAAGAGTGTAAAAAAAAGAGCCGTGGATCGTATTCCGTGCCCCCACCTGCAGGTAACCCCACCGCCTCGCCGTGGGCCCAAGGTTCTTGGAGTGAGGCTCTGTAATATTCCTGGGAAATGTGCCGTCGGTCCGGGAACATGCGCGCTTTCCCAGCGAGACCCTGCATGCGTCGGCCCCGACGCGCCGTCAGCGTGTAGATGACGTCATGCTGCGCTCAGTTACAGCTAGCGCTCTATCTGCGCTTTCCGAGAAAAGACCCTAAAGGCAGTGATGGCCGGGGCAGGCGGACACTGCGCAGGCGGACACTGCGCAGGCGGACACTGCGCAGGCGAGGTTACCCTGGGTCACACTGCCGCCCCGCCAACAGGAATCCATAACACAGACTGGAACAAAATAAATTTGAAAATAAGTATCTGAATGGCACAATACCCTCTCTCCACCAGGAAAGTGTCCCTCCAGACTTTGGGTTTCCGGTTTGGTTTGAATCTGAAACAGAGTGAAATGACGTGATAGTATTCTGACAGCATGGTTCACCAAACCCCCCCCCAAAACACGCAGTAAACAATTCGCTCGCGTTACATGATCTGAGTACCGCTTCCCTCATTTGGGTGACCTTCAAATGTCTTCTAACATTCCAAAATTTTGGGAGGTTCAGCCGAATTTCAAACTACCTTCTCAGCTATGCAGAGATGTTACAAAAAGATACTCTTGCCAATACTGGAACTTCAACAAGCATAAATATGCAGATTCACAATGATGTTTAATCATCAAGAGTAAGAGAAATGTCATTATAAAGGATGGGCGACAACAACAGTACTGACACTACTTCTGACAGAGGCTTCCTAGCCCTAACGCCTAACACACACCACGGCCTGCCTCTACATCTAGTCACCTGCCCCCTGCAGGATGGCGCGTGCAGGTTCAGCACCTCACCTGTTCCCTGTCCTCTCCTGCTCCAGCAGCTTCAGGATGGACTTGCCATCCATGTCGGGGGGCGTGTCCAGCCCCGCGATGTCCAGGATGGTGGGCGCCAAGTCGATGTTCAGCACCAGGTGGAGATTCCTGCGGATTCAAGCATGGCGGTGTAAAGACGGACGTCCCAGCTCAGCACTGCCCTGGGGGCGCCCCAGTCCCACACGCTGGAAGGGCTCCTTACACTGCTCCTGCCTCCACGTTGGGCCCGCGGATGAAGAAGGGCACCCGGATGTCGAAGTCGTAGGGCATGGATTTGCCCTTCACCAAGCCGAACTGGCCGATGTGGTAGCCATGGTCGGCTGTGTAGATTACGTAGGTGTTCTCCAGCTCTCCGGTGTCCACCAGCATCTCATATATCTGCATCGGTGACCATGGCACAACATGAGGTGTGAGAGATCCACCAGGGGAAGCCCCCCCGAGACACCCACACTGAGGAGTGTGACCTCCACAGCCTCACCTTCTCCACGGAATCGTCCACGGACATGAGAGTCTGCAGGCGCTTCCTGTGCAGGAAGTTGGTGAACTCCATGTGGATGGGCTTCATGGGGCCGGTGTACTGCATGATCCAGTGCTTGTCCATGTTGGGAGCGTAGTTATAACTGGGAGTACTGGGAAAATAAGTGGCTTGGGTGAGGAGCCTCCCAACATCCAGACTCAGGGGGCAGCATCCCAGAGAGAGTAAGCCCCCCCCCCAAAAGAGAGAGACCAGCAGAAGAGTCTGATGACCCCCCGCCCCCCGAGGGACTGGCTTGCAGAGTGGTCCAAGAATTCCCCCTGAGAGTGGCTGGTGGAGGGGCTCAACGACCCCCCAAAGGTAGTGAGAGCAGCCAGTAGAGGGGTCTGATGATGCCCTCCCCCGAGAGAGAGCGGCCAGCAGAGAGGCCTGGTGACCCCCAAGTGAGAGAAAGTGACGGCCTCTTGTTTGCTCAAGGAAATTCGCTAATTTTCCCTGGTGAGCATTTTAACAAGAATGCCAGTCACTCTGTCTTCACACACAGCTGAACGTCAAAGGCTTTTGGCTGCGGAAAATCATTTGAGGGTTGGCACGCGCTAAAGAAAATAGGTCCATGACCAACGGACCCAAAAATAAAGTTCCTAAATGACCCGTCGAATAAACATAGTTAACCGCTCCGAGAGGGTCCGGTCAGAGGCAGAGCAGGTGGGCAGTTTGGCCGAGGGCACCGTGTGGGTGCCAAGGGCCGGCGTTTGCCTGCTGATCCTGCCAGAGTGGTAATGAGCTAGCAGGCGACAGTCGAGGCCTCTCCCCCCACCCTGCTGAACTCCTCACCCAGGATCTGAGGCTGCGAGCCTTTTGCCCCATGCCATAGAGGACAGCTTGAGGTGGGGGGCAACCAAGAACAACAGGTGAGACCTCCAGGTGGAGCGAGAGATCCGTGGTGATGTGTGGGTTCCTATCTGCTTCATAGGCTGGGAAGACTCTTCTCGGAGAACACAGTGCAGGATATGTGTTCCGCGTCTAAACACGCCATCACGCGGCCCTCCAGAGGCAAAGCCCTCGGCTAAACGGACTCCTGCCGGCCAAGTTAAAAGCATCGATGGCCCCTTCGAGGTGCTGAGATGCCGGTTTGATTTACGCAGGACTGACGCATGCCTTGCACATTAAGCATATCACTTACGGTTCCGCTTGGGGATGCGGTCCCCCGTTTTCATACACCACCGCCCCACCTGGGCGTCCTGCTGACAATAGGTTCTCCTTGGCCTCCGCGGCCAGCCTGCCGTATTCACGCGATCCCGTAAATCGGACCCCATAAACCGGCACGCAGCACTTGACACGCCTCAGCCACATTCCGGTCTCGGAGCGTTTCAGGGCCGGTCCTGGTGCCAGCATGGCAGTAAATTAATCACGCCGCAGAGCGCCGTCCAAAGCAAACAACATACTCTGCGAATCGCGGAGCCTGGGGAGGGACGGGGTGAGAGAGTGCAAGGACGGGGGCAGCGCAGAGTTCTGCTCCCCCATTTCTGGATGCCCAGCTGAGGTCCGGGAGCTGGTGTGCAGCGCTGTGAGGCTCTCACGCTCCTCGTGAACGGCCAGACGCCTCAGCACCGAATCCACAGGCTATCTGACGTCAAAATCGGCCAAGCTGACGTTTTTCCAGCCCATCGACATAATAGATGCCGGAATAACGATTTTAGGACGTTTACAGGCGCGGCTGTTTAGTGTCTGCTACGCACTGCCAGACCTAAAACCGGCAAACGCAGCCTGTCCTTTTCTACCAGTATCAATCAGTGGCACTGGAATTCCAGTCTGGTCTTTATAAAAATAATAAAGAATAAATCCTTTGAGAAATGTTTCCTGTCTGACGCTTTCTCCTGACTTACAGGATTTGACCTGAATAGGAAAAGAAATGAGTGGCATTCCTATTGGACAATCCTTACATTTTGGCTTAAGTTATGTGACTAAAGAATGAATCCTGCTTTGTGTAAATACCCCCCAGGTGCTTGACCGACCCTGCTGCTGACCCTGGCATGGTGGGTAGGAGGGGGATGGGGGGGACTCACATGTGCTGGGAGGCGTTGGGGAAGAGCTCAGAGTACTGGGGGGCGGAGTCCTCGGGACCGTGCGGGGCGGCGTGGCTGATGACCATCATGACGGGCCGGTGTGGGTACATGCGCTTAGACGTCCGAAAGTAGCTGATGCTCTCATTGGTGATCAGGTCCGTGAAGTAGTCCTGCAGGAGAGGTAACAGGCCAATGAGAAGGTAGAGCTCTGAGAAGACTGAGGACTAGCACACTTCAGACTCAAAACCCAGAAGAAGGGATGAGCAGGCCTGCAGTGGCTGGGTGCACGTTTGCCTGGGGGGGGGCGGGGTTCCGAATGTCTCTATGAGGCTATGGGGGGGGGTGGGGGTCAGCAGCCACAGCCAGACTGAGACACACCAAAGCGTCTCACTCAGGAAAAGCTACTGGACATCGAGAAGCATAAATATACACCCCTATAAAAGGCGAGGAGAGGACATACTAGGCGCGTCTATGCCAGACTCCCTGGGACGCCTTCCTGACACGCAGGGGCCCTCACACCTCCGTCTGACCCAATGAGCAGGGCGCCTGACATCCGCCTGCTACCCCACACTCACGTTTACCTACGGTGCAGACATCCCCCAATGGACAGACTGGCTCCCGACCATAAACACCCCCTCCCTCACATTTTCACGCTACCTAGGAGCACACTGACAGGTAGCAGCTCCAGGAAAAGCCCCCACAGCAGACGCCCCTTCTAGAATAATCATACGGTAAGGCGGCAACACAAGTCCAGGCTTCTGGAAACATTGCTATCCTGTCCATATGCTCCTCGGGCCCCAAGGTGACAGGGATAGGTCATTTTTTCATAAAGATTATACCGTCACACTTTCTTTACTGACAGGGTAAACACACCCCGTAGGTGTAATCTTCACTGCTAACATTCATTATGCTATAACATCAGTGTACTGGAGGCACCATGGTAGCAAACTAGGGCAGTGTTTCCTGACCCACTCCTTGGAGACCCAGGAGTTCCAGGAGCTGGGAGGGAGCAAAAATGTGGACTTTCTGGGGGTCCCCAAGGATCCGATTGGGAAACGCTACACTAGGGTATAATGTTGTACTTCACTAATTTGGTACACTTCACTACGTCTTCACTGATGAGAGGGTGATTAGTTGACTCATGAGTGAAGCACTGGGCCCCACCTGGGCTGGTCACATGGCTGCCCGTTTGGGTTCCTGCCAAAGACACCCGCCTCCTTCAGGTGAACCTGTATCATTACAGCTGAGCTGCCATGATACTGACCGCCCACAATGTGACCAATTGGGTTTCTGCTCCTTGTCATGTCACACGGCCAGGAGGACTGCCCAGGTTAGGCTAACATGCAGCCCTCCAGCCATTGTCCGGGGGTCATGGGCGTGCCCTTTTGGCCAGCTGCAGGGGCCGGGTGGCCCAGCGGTACACACCTTGGCATAGTCAGCCCCGTGCTTCTCCTTGTAACCATTGCGGCAGACGGTGTAGTTATAGAAGCGTGAGTTCTTGATGAGGCCCACCCACTCCCTCCAGCCGGGTGGGATATAGCTGCCGTTGTACTCATTCAGGTACTTCCCAAAGAAAGCTGCAGAGGAGGAATGGATCCACAGTGAGGAGATAGAAAGATAATGTCTGCAGGACAGGAGGTGTTTACCATGGAATGAGGGACAGGTCACAGCGAGTATCTGCTCTCTGCGTTGATAAATAAATGAGAGTATCTGCTCTCCATGTTGATAACCAACCACGAGTATCTGCTGTCCATGTTGAAAAATAACCGTATCTGCTCTCCGTGTCAATAACTGACCACGAGTATCTGCTCTCCATATCAATAACTGACCACGAGTATCTGCTCTCCGTGTCAATAAATAATCGTGAGCATCTGCCCTGAAAACTGTGAGTATTTGCTCTACGTGTCAATAAATATCTGCTCAGATTCCTCTGTTCCTCTTCTCCGGACGCGAGTCCTTTCAGACGAGCCTGCAAACATGCGATCGTTTCCTGCTGAATCAGGCCATACATCTCCCAATATCTGGGAACGGCGCCAGTCCACCCCAGGGAGTCAACAGTGGACCAGCGTCTTCGCTAGAAACCGCGGGTGGGTCTAGGGGTGAAGGAGGGCTCGTGGGCATGCAAAGAGCGTGGACCAGATCCCGGGAGGACATGCCTGAAACCAGACTGACCTCCAGGTGAGAAAGCCAGATAATCTCCAGATACGCCACTCCAATTTCAACTTCAAACCTGGAAGGGCTGCTGGCTTTCGTCAAAGTTCTTAATGGATAAAATACAAGCTTTTATTGCTGTAATCGTTTTTAAATGACAAGCTTCAGCTTTCGGGTTTGGCTGCAGTCGAGCCACTTACATGTGAGTATAACATGGTGATTAACAGTGGGTTAGGGTTAGCATAACGCAATGATTAAAGGAGGAACTCTTCTCCACGGTACTGGATTGTCCAGAGAAGACCTTTCCAGAACCCACCACAGAACCCAAACAGAAACCCCAAGGGGTCCCTGAGCTCCAGCAGGGGGTAGCAGGCTTACCGGTCCGGTATCCCGTGTTGTTGAGGTAAACGGCGAAGGTGCGCGGCTCGTGCTGGGCCTGCCAGGATGGTGATGAGCAGTTCTCGTTGTTGGTGTAGGTGTTGTGATTGTGGACGTACTTGCCGGTGAGCATGGAGGAACGTGATGGGCAACACATGGGCGTGGTGACGAAAGCGTTGGTGAAGGTTGTACCTCCCTGCTCCAGGATCCGGCGTGTTTTGTTCATCACCTGCAGCGAGCCTGTGGGGCGGAAGACGGGCGTCAAACAGACAGGAACCCCCACCAGGTGGTTTATGAAAGCTGGCAGATGCTTGGTTTGTCGTCGCAGAGCGCCCTCTGCAGGATCACGCCAACCCCTGCGGGGTCTCGCCGCCCAAGATGAGAGGGTCTCCTGGCCACATCCCAAAGCCGGATTTGAACACTCCTCCATGGTTTAATGCCCCGTGTTAGTATTTGCATTCCCTAAGACCCCCAACAGTAATCCGCCAGATCCATGCGGCTCACTGTAAATTAGACAAGCAGCTGAACCTCGATGTTTCTCTAAAACCTTTTGCTAAATGCCTTTTCCTGTCCAGCGCTCCCTCAACAATGTGCGTCAGATGTTATGTGGCGTCTGATCCAGCGGCCGGCGAGTTATAGGTACCTCACACATAGCAAACGCCTCTCAGGTTAAGCAAAAACGCGAAGGAATCTCAAACACTCCTGGGCTCGCCGTCCGCAGTCTGGGGTCTCGCCAGAACAAACAAGGTCGGTTTTGCTTAATAAGTAGATGTTAGTGTTTCCTGCTTCCTTAATCATGCCCCTAAAAGCCACCTCGCCCTCTCCTCACCGCGGGTGCTTCTCGTGCAATGAAAACCTTCCTTATTTATGCAAACGAGTCCAGTTCAGCAAGAGAGAGAGAGCCCTGTGAGAGAGAGGGCCCCTGAGGGGTCCAGGAAAATTACAGGGCCCCTGACAGAGCTCTGTGAGGGGCCCATGAGAATTACCGGGCCACATGAGAATTAGAGGGCCCCCGAGACTCACCCAGTTCCACGTCCTGGTCGTCGGTCATGATGAGTATGATGTTAGGCCGGATGTTGCGGCGGTCTCTCTGCACACGGCCGCGCAGCCCCTGAGCGCGTGTGGTAAACGCAGTGCAGTCCAGTGGGCCAGCCACCAGCAGGGCGGCGACAGCGGCTAGGCACAGCAGCTTCATGGCGATGGCGGTGGGGATCGCGTTTCCACTTGGATGTCACGACCTGGTGGAGGGGAGCCTGTTTTTAAAATCTGCTTCAGAATAACAGGGAATTTAAAAAGTTTTTAAATTGGCCATTCACCCAAAGAGAGCATACAGAGGATTGACGCCTCTCGTGTGAACCTCACGTTTCTCTGGGGCTTAGCGTCACAAGCCCAGATGTAAACAGGGTTTAAACCACTTTGTCTGGCTGTACATAATGAAGGTTCACTGGCACAATGTGAGCACTTCAAGTGAATTTTTGCCCATTCCTGCTGCTGCCACATCCGGGCCTTAACTTGCACTCTTGTAGCACCTGACAAACACATTCCCCACTGAAGGCACCTCGAGCATCTCTTTCCTGTCAGACTCCCCAGACAGTCATTCCCATGGGTATGTGTCAGCTCTGGACCAATTTGAGCCATCCTTTTGCACAGGACTTGGCGCAAGCCAATCAGAATGGCTTTGGTATTCACAATGACCAATCAGATTGCATCCCCTGTAAACCACATGAACTGTAGGGTCCTCGATCTCTCCTGCTCAGGCCCCCGGGCTGGAAGCAAAGCACAGGGTGTTGCTAAGCCAGTGGACCACCAGCACGTGCCCTGAAGCATGCGAGAGACAATGGCTTCCTTTGACTAAGGCACCAAATAGACACGGTCTGAGTCACCAACAGCAGCTCTCTACGGATGTGAGACCTTCAATAGAGTGAGGGCACTCAGCGATCTGGCATGGTGGCTGATAAGACAAACACGCCATCTGCATGCCCCATTTTACCATGTTTGCGGCAGTAACATGGGGGCTCTCCGATATGTGTTTAAAGACTTTCCCGGAAAGAGTGCATCACAGACCCACCGACAAGGCCACCTCCAGCAGCCCTGGAAAAATACTGGCACTGTTTGAACTAGCCGCCACTGCAGAGCGACTGGTGGAGTCCACAACCCTGCCCCACACCCCCAGCGAGCTCCCCTCCACCCACAAACCCCAGAGCCCATGATACAGGAGAGCAGCATAATGTGGACATGTACAGTGTGACGATCAAGCTTTCAAACCAACATGCTCGACCCACATCGCCTGTGGTCCTGCCTACAATGTCAGGTTTAGCCATAAAGGTTCTGAAGCCAACTAGTGCAAAAGCACCATCAAGACGAACACTCAAAAGCCAGCACCTTCAATTTAAGAAGCACATGTTGGGTTTGATAGAAGGAAGGTGCATAATTGGCACACAGCTCCTTCCAAGCACCCAGGTTCAAAGAGAAGGACCCTCAGACGTTCTGAAGAAGGAGAAATGGTCTCGTTTTAATAAGCCATGCACACTGGGACAATAACTGCTCAAAACAGATGCTGGACTCTTAAGGAGATAAAAGCCTACTCAGAAGTTCAAACAAAAGTAATCTGTACTCGAGGAACATGAGACAAAGCAGAGAAGGTCAGACATTTCATTTGCACATCAGTGCCTGTGCTGAGTGGTGAAGGGCCATTAGGCTTTGAGGGTCCTCTCATATTCATCATGATGATCCTAACATTCGAAGGACTGTTATGCTCTCGGAGGCTGTGAAAGACCGATTCTGCAGAAAGGCGAGAAGTGGAAACATGCAATTGTCAGACAGATGGATTACAGGGCGACAGACTAATGGCACATCAACAGGCCCTGAGTCTAAGCCTCCTGACCAGATCATCAGATCTGTATGCCGACATCAGCCCGTGGTCAGCCGGGGTCACTGCCACTGTCAGGCGGCTCGCTGGTCACCATGGCTCCTGCTGGGTCAGCAATGCGTCTCCGTGGTGCCAACAGTGGTTGCTTTGTGGCTACTTGACGTGATCTTGTTGAATTCGACACGGCCACGCGACGGGGTGAGGAGGTCGAGGTTACGAAGACGCTCGAGGGGGAGACGGCTCGCCAACGCTGGCTCTTTTTGCACGCGGCCGCCATTACTGGGAGGCAGGCCGGCGTGGTCCTTACACCCTCCAAAAAACACAGAGCTACGGCAATATCGCTCCAAGGTGCCGAGGAAAACACCAGCAGCGTTCTCCCGGGCCTCTCCAGGGGCAACCTACACCATAAATATAGGCAACATTGACGAGAACAAGGACGCTGGTCCTGACCGATGGAGGTCCTTTCCAAACGCCTTTTAACAAGAGTGTTCCATTCAGCAGCAGCTCCCGGCCATCTTCAGCGGCCCATCTCCCGATTCCCCGCTACTGCTCAAGGCAGGGGGGGGAGGGGGGGACTATAATTAAAGTAGATGACATGGCCCAAAAGTAAATCGGCCATTCAGAAGAGGCCAGTCACTGGGGACAATGACCGTTTGAAAGCCGGGCATGAGCAAACCCCACTGGGCACTGCTGATTTCATCCCTCTGGCTGCCAAGATGCCGGAGTGCGCCGGGGGGGGGGGGGGGGGGGGGGGGGGGGGGGGGGGGGGGGGCGGGCGGGGTTGTTGGACTCGTGTGGCATAGTTCGAATTCTGCGTGCAGTAAATTACAGTACAGGAGACTGGCCTCTGTGGCCGAACCCAGAAATGCAGGGGATGTCTCAGTGGGATCCTGCGAGGGGAGCTCTCACTCGACGTCTCCTGCATGGTCGGAGCATTTTAGCTGCGATTCGGCACGTTACAGCGCAAAAAAAAAAAGGACGATTATGGCTCTGGGCGGACGGGATCTTGGCGCGTCAGAGGCGTTTTTAATCCGGAAGAATCCCTGCCTGAGCAAATTGCATTCACAGCCTGCGATTCCCCAGGGATCACTGTCAAACGCCCCCCCCCCTTCCCCCCCAGGCCAGAAGCCTGTCTCCATGCCAGACTGCGGAGTACGGCTAGCCCAGGGTGGTCCCATGTCCCGGCATCTCTGACACCAAAGAGCCACGGAAAGACACTCGCGTGAACATGGCGGGAGTTACAGGACAGGCACGTCACGGCAGACGGACTTACCGCGCTCAGCTGCTCCCTCGCCGCGACGAGCCGCGTCCGTGCCGTAAAGCGGACAGGCAGACCGCTTATCGCTTGTGGCGGCGGTGTTATTCTCGCGTTAGCGGCGAGCTGCCAGGCAGGGCACTGATTACGCAGGCCGACTCACTGAAGCGGTTTCCATCTGCTGTCAAACCTCCAAGCTACGCAGATTAATCACCGGCAAACGGTTCCAGCCGGGACTGTAACTAAATGCATCTTCACTTTTTTTTTGGGGGTGGGCGAATCCTCCCATAGAGAATAAGGCGTTACCCAAAGTGAGACTTTTAACATAAAAAGAACTGCAAGGTCTACGCCTAAAACACACGGATGCCCCCCCCCCACAATGATGCTGTCGAGTTAAATGCCAGCTAATGCTAACCAGACATGTAGCCATGACCTTATGTGTGTGTCTGCGTGTGTGTGGGGGGGGGGTACTCTTAAACGTGGAGAAAGTCACGCATGGTGTCAGTCACAGCAATGCAGTGTGGGTAACTGGGCAGAGCAAACACCTCCCATCCTGTGGATTCTGCGAAAACAGATCAATCAGGAACGGCCATCAGAATTCGGACCGTGACCGCAGCTGCTTCTCGGCAACAGCGTAAGATGTTTTTAAGGCTCGCCTCTGCAGCTACCCGTCCGTGCGACGGCGACTCCTGGCGACTGCAGCAGGACCCCTGGAGTCGGCCTGCCCTTACAGCTGGAGATCCTGTTCCAGCTCCACCAGGAACCCGGAGAAGACCGCGGCACAAACACGAGCCCCACCTGCCGCCGACCATCGAACGCCAGATGGACCCGCTCCGTCGTAAACCATCATAAACCGGCTATGTGACGACGTTGATTTCCACCGAATGCTGCCAGGCGATTGTACGAGAAACGGCTGTCAAACATCATGCACGGGTTCAGAAAGAGTCCGGCGGGCCATAGAGACGTGGCAGCTGTTCAGGGACCTCAGAGAAGAGAGCGCAGAACCCAATGTCGGCACGTTACCCCGAAACGGTATTAAAAGAGAAAACATCTATGAAGACATCAGCGTAAACAGCTGCCAAACAGACACAGATGAACAAGGGGGTGAATCGATGGGGGAGCAGGAGTGACCATGGCCCCCTCTGGTAACTCTGTGGTCACTCCACTTGACCCCCCACCAAAAATAAAAACAAAATATAGAGCATGTAATCCTGCTAATCAGAGGTGTCCAAAGCATCCATCAGTCGATTGTGGCGTGTCTCTCCAAATGAACGGATAAAATGGATAATGTCCACAATCTGCAAAATATACCAGGGGGGATCCACAGCCCTGTTTGGCAAAATATTACCCCCACTGTCACCCCAGTAAAATCGTTGGGTCTAGTCTGGCCACCTCACTGTGACCCACATTTTTAAGGCATTCACTTCATCCAGAAGCTGACAGCTGACTAAATGATGACTGTGGCCGGGTTTTAATTACGAGTTAATTAATACCCACCCCTCATAATCCGCAGGCCAGACCTTCATTATGGACGCATGAAAATATATAATTTAATTAATGCTGCTCAGGCGACTTCAAAGACGTATTCCAGGTGTCACCAGGGGGTCCACTGGGAACGCTGGTGGGATTTTCTTAGCACTAAGAGGGAAATGATTAAAACATGGGGGGGGGGGGGGATTCTGGTGACACAGGGCCACTAAAGCATTGAGCTGGGGAGCGTTAGCGCCCTCTGGGGGACTGGGAGCTCCATCTGGGGTGTACAGGCTAAACTCCGCCGGCGACATTCCTGCCCTCCTTTGGTCAGGAGGCACAGAAGGCTGTAGATCTGAGGGGTTGTAGGACACCCCTGCAATCTCCGAGAGACATGGGGGTGTGTCGCAGCGCGGAGTGAGGTATTCACCCCCCAGCTTCCTCATAAATCCTTGCTCTCGGCTGTGGAGACCCAGCTTCTAAATTTATGTGAAGGTCACTGCAGCTAATTTGTGGAACCACCCACGGACACACCCATATGTGGTCCACCTCCCGGCAAGCCTGTGTGAAGGTATGGATCGAGGGCGGGGGGTGGTATAGGGGGGCATATCGGCCATGGGTGGTGTAACTGAGGGGGACGGGGGTTATACGGCTTGTGGTGATGAGGGAAACAGAAAACAGGTGGGGAAGACGTGCCCCTCATTCACAGAAGAACGAGGACTTTCACAGCGCCAAAACCAAACAGTCACTTATTGACATGACACATAGCATGTTTGGGATGAATCTTCAGGGATTCATCATTACGGGATTCAATCATCATTACGCTGGACATTAAGAGAAGGGCCATTTGTAACGTGCGCTACGGCGGTTCACTCATAATCAGGGGCAACGCCCAACAACATTTCAGCACCAAAGTGAGTAAATGAAGTGCGTAGAAGATAAACGTGCTGCAAGCTGCAAGAGGTGATTTCGCCCCCCTTATCTGCACTGAACGAACAGCAGAATCTTTAATGGCGTAGAGGCACGAAGAAGCTGAAAAACATGCTAATTGTTTCAACAAGTTTCCACTGAGGAAATCGCTCAGAATAAATAAAATCGGCCCCTTTCACCGTGACGCACAGCAGCTCATCCCAACACAAATTCCTATTTCCTTGCTTCCGTTTTGCTATGGGAACCCCGATATCCACTTCTCCGGTCAGAGGTCAGGCCTTCCAGCACTCGGGCTGACGGGCGGCTTCGCTGAACCAGTCTAACGGCCCGTACTGGTTTGGAAACGGTCGACGGCGGTTTCTGAAGGCCCACTTGTCTAAGAGGCAGGTTTCAAAAGAGTCTGTGTTCGTTTCTGACACCGCGCGCCGGTTTGTAAGCGATCTGCGAGCGTTTTAGCATGCGGGTCGAGGCGTCTTGCTGGGTTTGATCAGAATAAATAGCTGGAGACGGCCGGCACCAGCCCCGCTCACTCTAACATCTGCAAACACGTGACAGGCGTCAGGCAGCCAGTAAGTACTGCTGCAGACACCCCTGCCGACTCCAGTAGCTGAACGACACGCCAGAGCATTAAAAGTGCTCCCAGTCCCTCAAGCGCTAACGGCACTGTGAGCAATTTAGCGGCTAAAAATAGAGGCCCTGCTGCGAAATTAAGAAGCACGGAGGTCAAGGCCGAGATGAAGTGGCAGCCCGTGAACCTGCGACAGGCCTCACGCATCACGTTACACGGGGCAGAGTCTGACGCTGGTCTCCACGCCGTCCAGCCTGCCGGAGCTCAGCCGGTCCCCAGATCCGGAACACGAAGCAGCTGGAGTTACTGCGGAGCAGAACCAGCAGGATGCAGCAACATCTGGGCCAGTGGAGCAGACAGGGAGCAGGCCTCCAGGGAGCAGGCCTCCATACCCAGGTAAGGAGGTGTGGAGAGCTGGAGACGCATACGGGCACCTGGGTCACATCGAGGGTCATGTGTGCCCCGAAAGCTCTCTGAAAACCACCCAGGGTGATTTTAAGCTTGTTCCAGCAGGACAGGGACGCCCATAGGTCCATTTCAGGACAACTGGGTCGGCTGGCAAGTAGTTGGCTCCATGTAGCCCTCTGAGGTCTAGCCCCCCCCCCCGACAGACATTACCTACAGAGAGAAACGCTTCCATGAGATGAAACGTGAAAGTACGCAAGTCCAACTCAACATACAGCCAGGGAGCCTGATTCACCATCAAAACCCGTGTTTCTCAAACCAGTCAGAAACCCCCAAACAGTCCACGTTTTTGCTCCCTCCCAACACCCAGGAATTGGGAGAGAGCAAATAGTGGACCGTCTGGATGTCCCTGAGGACTGGTTTGAGAAACACTGATCTAAACGCATCACCAGAACATAACGCTGCCTCGAACCCTGGGCCCGAGCCCTGGGCCCGAGCCGCCCGGAGAGAGCAGAGGCCTCATTATTGTCACCTGCCTGCACAAGTGAGCCTTTCATAAGCACTGAGCCTGCTGGGGCCTCGGTGGCCAAAGCCAGCCGCCAAGACCCGGCGAGGCCCCGCCCACACTCCGCAGAACCCCGCATGCCGATCGTGCCACAGGGGCGTAATTGGAAAATGACACATCATGGAATTTGAAAATTACATATCTGCCGGGATCTGGATCGGGGTCCTGGCAGCAGCATGGCCTGAGCGTGGAAATGTTTACAAACGTTGCTTTCAGGTC